AAGGCGTAGCAAGTCTGCAAGTGACTGCCACATGGCTCCAAAATACACGTACACACATAAAGAGAAGTCAAGTAATACAGCAAATATCAACAACTGGTGCATCTGGAAGAGAATGTCAAAATTCCTCGTGCTGCTTTTGAAAATGAAACTTCCATGTTTTAGATATTTTTCAAAATTACAAATGTTTAAAACGTTAGAATTCTGGTAAACATTAAATTACACACAATTCTACTGAAAATAGGATGTGCAGTTACCCAAGAACAATTGATTTTCATTCACCTTGAGCAAGAGAGGAAGAGTCAGGAATAGGCAGAGGATATGGAATGTGCAGTTAATCACCTCCACTGCTGCCTCCTTTGCAATGATCCCAGAAGAACCGAGTGGTGCCCAGCCACCACTACAAAACATTAGTATCAGAATCCTGACAAGAATCCTGATCGAAGAGGGGGAAATACAGAATAAAATGTCACACTGTCACGGACTCCAGACTTCCTAAACCCATAAAGATTGACCAAAACCCTGAAAGTTCTGCCCTAAAATAATTTGTAAACTTTAAACCAGAAACATCTCCGGAGGCCATTTTAAAACCAAATAAAGGTAGATCTGGAGACCTAGTGGTAAGATGCTGCACTGCAATCCCAAAGGTGCATAGTTTGAATCCACCAGATGCTCAGCTGGAGAAGGAGAGGCAATCTCCTTCTGTCCAGTCGAATCCGATTCGACAGTACACATACACACACAGAAATGATGCTTGACTATTATGCCCTTTGAAGAGCTACCTGCATGGGACCAAGCTGACGAATGCTGTTGTTAGGTGCTGTGGAGGTGAACACAACCGACAGGAACCCCTCCTGTGTGCCGGGCTCTGGGAGGAGCCCCATGACTGCAAGGCCCCAGGGTGCAGGCGGCCACGGAGGACTCACATCCAGAGCACCGTGTGTGTGTGAGGAAGCTCAGAGTCCACAGCGTGCCCGGGCCTTCATGGCAGCTGCCAGACCCAGAGCAGAGCCCCACGTCTGGACAAGAAGGGGGTGGTTCTCCACCCCGACCCACCCGATCAGGGAGTTAGTACCCAAAAATGACCAGATGCAGACCATTTAAACCAATTCACCAGTCACTGCAACCAGAAACACACATTGAAGGCGTTGTAGTGTTTAAGTGACCTGAAGAAAGGAGGAGGAATCCTGACAAAAAATGCACAGTAGAAAGTAAATGAGAACAAATTTCAACAACACTAAGGCCAAGCTGACCTGTCTGACATCTACAGAGCAGGCCATGTGACAACGGCAAAACGCCCACCCTTCTCCCGTCACCGACCGGGGTCCTGAACAGCCAGACACTAGGTCACAAAAGAAGTTCACGTCCACCAGCAGTCCCACAGCAGAAAGACGGGTGTCCCACGCAACTCAGAGAATCTGCTAGAGGCTCAGCCTTGGGTCAGTTTCCAAGGATACACCCCTAATGCTCACCTTTCTCAGTTATAACACATATACAGTGTTCCCTTGTTCTGTTCACACAACTTCTTGGTCTAGGTTGAGATTTTGTAGAAGCACAATTAAGTGTTCTTCTCAATGTTAGCAACAGTCAGTTCTGAGTTATTGTATAAGTGAAAACGTAAGAAGTTACAGAATGAGAAAATATTCACAAATTATATAGCCAGTCATGAGCTTGGGCCCAGTAAATATAAAGAACTCTTATAGCTCAAATATTTAAAAAAGAACCCTGAAAAAAGAAGACAGGACTAATTAACCAGTTTACATTTTTAAATTATTTTTTTATCTTAAAAAAAAATTAAAATCCAACCCAATTTTAAAATGGTAAAGAAATGCTAATAGGCATTTCTCCAAACAGACAGAAACAGTCATTAAGCACATGGGAGGTCCTCAGCATCTTCAGCCTTCGGGCAAACGCAGGATTCTGCTTTATGAACTATCTGAATAGTAAAGGAATTTAATAGCTGTCCAAGGCTGAGTGTTGAGACGGGAGAAACACAGATTAACTAATAACGGCTAAGAGGCTCCTGCTGGGGTGATGAAAATATCCCAAAGCTGACTGCTGATACACAACTTTGTGAATATACCATAAACCACTGATTCACACTTCATTATTATTTTTGTTGCGTGTACCGTCAAATCAGATCTGACTGGTACAGGAGGAGATTGTCCCTCCTTCTCCGGCAGAGCATCTGGTGGATTCGAACCATTCGCCTCTGGGATTGTAGTTGCAGCTCCTTGCCACTAGGCCACCAGAGCTCTCTGATTCACACTTCAAAAGGATGAACTGTACTAAAGTGCGTAAAAACCTTCACATTTGGGGCATAACTGTGGAAAAATAAACACAGAAAGATCTTACTTGCAGTAATATATCCATGATGTTAGGTGGCATCAAGTCAACTCACAGCGACCCTATGAACAATCGGTTGGAGCCTGCCCTCCCCTGGCCCATCCTCAAGTTCACGGTTACCGCCACTGTGTCAAGCCTCCTTGGTAAGAACCTTCCCTTCTTTAGTTGTCTCTACCTTTCCCGGCGTGATGTCTTTTTTCAAGGACTGTTCCCTCCTGCTATAGGAGACACAGCTTCACCACCTAAGTGCTCTACGCAGCATGGATTATAAAGGCTTGTTTGCTCTTTCAGCTTTTGTTGTTAAGGGTCACCGGGTCAAGGGCGACTCATAGCAACCATGAGGTCTGACCACTGTCCTATCCTGACTATCCTCATCACCTCTGGCATATCTGGACCCACTACTCCAGACACTGTAGATCAGTGCATCTCATCAAAGATCTGTCTTTTCTTCACTGACCTCCTTTCCCAGCCATCTCTTGACAAGAAATAGCCTCTCCTGCCAACATGTCCAATGCATGAGATATGAAGGAAGCTTCTCTACCCCTGACTCCAAGGAGCACTCGGGCTGCACCTGCTCTAAGACATATCTGTTTGTTCTTTTGGCAATCCATGGGACGTTCAGCACGCAGCTCCAACACCAACAGCTTGTTCTAGCAACATCCCCAAGTATGTGAGACAAAGTTTTGTCATCTTTGCTTTCAAGGAACAGTCTGGCTGCACCCTCTCCAAGACATCTCCGTTCTTTCGGCAGACCATGGGATGTTCAGTGCTCTTCTGCAACACCACAGCTCAAAGGCGTCGATTCTTCTTCTGTCATCCTTATTCATTGTCCAGCTCTCAGATACATGGCAAGTGACCAAAAAGTGGCCTAAACTGAATGCATCTTAGCCCTCAAACTGACATCACTGCTCCTCAGTAATGTGAAGAAATCCCTGACTATCCACTGCAATTCATCTCCTGATCTCCTGACCGCTGGTACGGAGGGTGCTGCTGATTGCGTAGCCATCTATCCTGACGCTGCGTATTGGTCCAGTGGTGAGAATTTAGGAAAAATAAATTCTGAAAGCATTTACCTCCAAATATTATATCCACCGAAACTTGGAAGTGATGTAATTCAGTGAGGGGTCACCCAAACAGGTTCTCTGCAGGGCTGAGCAAGTCAGTGACCCAGCTACTCAGATGACAAGACCGAGGAGAACTAAACCTCATAGCAGCTGTGAGATGATGCTCTACAACAAACTGACCACCAACACAGTCTCCAAGCAAGTTACACTAACAGAGTAGCAGCACCAGGTGGTCAGCAAAGGCCTTCCGAGATGTCCATCCATGGTGGAGGCCCAGGAGGCAGGGACAGACAGGAAAACCGTCTTCTCCTGAAATATCTTAACCTGGGTTAAGCCAAGGTCAAGTCCACATAGTCTAGGCTGGGCCCTTACAGAGGTGCCAGTGCTGGTTCCCGGGGCTGCCTGTGGATGCAGGTCTCAGCAGCAGTAGCTGGTACATTCCTATAGAACGGTGACTCTCAATCTTCTGACTCCATTGCACCTTTCCAGCTTATTAGGAACGGTTACAAGTGAAAAATACATAGTCCTTTTTAAATCTCAACAAATGATGGATTTTCTCTACACTGTCTCATTAGCATCAGCACCGGATTCTACAAAGGAAAATGATCAACACACTGAAATGCTGCGTGCCATTTACAGCCAGCAAGCAGGCTTGGGCTTGACGGCTTCTACTGATCGAATACTAATGAACTCAATCTCTAGTTCACGTTCCCTCCACTCTGCCTCTGGGGGTCACTTGCCCTCTCTGTCCATAAAGCCCAGTTGTCAGGACAGACCCCAAGGTTTCTAATCAGCAACTCGGGTCTCCTGAGAACAGAATAAAGCATTTGTTTCCCTGCTCTATAGAAACGTGGCCACCAGGCTAGAGGAAGAATTCAACGCAAACACTAACGCCCTGCAAACTTAAAGCCACTTCATTTCAGAGGCAAGACACACAGGAAGAACCATGGAAAACGTGCTGGGCACTCAAAGCCGGTTAAGTAAGGCATGGCTGCCTGGATTCTAGTCTTCAGATGAAGGGCGCTTCCATTTTTAAATCATTTCTCCTCTGTCCCTGTTGTTAACAAGCCAGAAAATAACAGTGCTCACTGGGAGAAAAACAGCACCTGAAAAAAGACATGTTTGCTGTGTCAATGGCACAAGGTGTCAGGACAACAGAAAACCCACCTCTGTAACAAATGCAAAATGTCCTTCCTCGTTAAGAACACACACAAAATGCAAAACAGAATTCCCATTGACATGGAGAGGAGCATGGCCCACAGAGGCAAAGCAGTCGATACCATTAGGAATTTGAAATTAACAGGACAAGCATGCTCAATGCATTCAGAGGATTGAAGACACAATATCCAATCATTCCAGTCCCCATGCTACAGGCGTCTTCCTCTTCAGCACACAACTCACAGCAGCAGGGCACCCGCCCCCCTGGCACCCACCAATAATTGGTAATTGGGCTTTTAGCTGTTCTGATTTAACGTTTCTTAAATCAGAAGGTCCCCACGCACACAGTCCCGGAGCGTCCCTCTGCGACTCATTCGCCACCAGGAAACAAGCACCACAGGGAACAGCAAAGAGCCAAGCAGAAGACACGTGTACCTGGGTCAATGAGGACTTCCTGCGCCCCTGGAAGAGAGAACAGAGCACGGGCTTTTACTGGGAAAGAAAAACCCTGTTAAACACACTACCAGCCCTTCTCATGACAGCACAGCGTGGGAATCCGAGGGGCCTCTGCTCGAAGGGAAAGCAGCACTTTTCTAGCCAGAGAAGAAAAGTGGACAGTCACCGTTCCCGTGTCAAGGACACGCTGTGCAAGGCCTCCGTACCTCTCCTGTCCACTTGCTAAGCGGGCGGCCCCATCGTTCTTAAACAAGTGTCAGGATCTTATTTCCCTCAAAATGGCATGGAACTGGGGAAGGTACCACAAGGCTGATTCAAATCAAAAATCAGGCAAACAGGATTTTTTTAAGGCCCATAGTCCCTGAGGTGATACCGACTTTAGCAACTCGGCAGGACAGAGCAGAACTACCTCGTAGGGCCTCATTTTGAAGGCTGTCATTTTTATGAAAGCAGACCACAGCATCTTTCTCAATCAGAGCATCTGGTGATTTCGAACCACCAACTTTTTGCTTCGTGGCCAAGTACTTTGATCACCATGCTTCCACATTGGAGCCTATCTCCTAAAATCAATTTGTCGAGTCAGGGGCCAGCTGCACAGCCATGAAAGTGCCAAGAAGCCAGTGGCTGTCAGCAAGGCAGGAAGCCACCAAGGCCCGCAGAGAGAAAGGAGGGCCGGGGAGGGGGCTGCCGAGCCTGGAGCCGAGATGAAAGGGTGGGAATAACCCATGCTTCCTGTCCTCCTCTGCCATCCAGAAGCCAGCTGACCCCACAGCAGGGAAACAGCAAGTAGGGGCCACCCTGGGTGTCGACAGTGACACAGCGCAGAGCAGAAACCCAGCTCTGCCTTGGACACAATTCCAGCTCTTTCAGGTTTCCAAGGCTGTAAATCTGTACAGGAGGAGACTGTCCATCTTTGTCTGGAAGAGCAGTTGGTGGATTTGAACCACCAACTTCCTTATTAGTAGCCATGCCTGGCTGGTTTCTAACTCTGGAAGAGAAGTCCAATCTCGCAGTGTTCATACTACACGTCAGAAGTTTTCAGGCTGTGAAAATGTCAGAATGTAAATACGAGGTACCGAGGACACCTTCCCTGGACCCCAGCTCTCGCAGCCACCGTGCTGCTCTGAAGCACTAAATGAGGAATCAACTCCTAGGGCCGCTCCTTGAATCTTACTGCGCTTACAACTGGAAACCAGGCTAAAAAACTCTGTTCAAGTGCAACAGTGCCACCTATGGCCAGGGAGCCCTTTCCAAAGTGCTGACATGAAGCAACGGAAAGTCCCCAGAGTGAAAAAGGGGTGCTCAAGAGTCTGCAGGGAGGGGCTCAGTGGGCACTAACCAGACTGTGCTTCAAGGAGCAGGGAATATTCAGAACTTAATCTGAACTCTCACTTCCCTGGAGAGAACCAGACTCCCTGCCTGGGACCTGGAAGGAGTCTTAGGACTGTGTCACCTCGTCAGTGCAGATCAAGACACTGCGGGCCAGGACTCTTCAGCAGCAAAGTCGCCTTCTCAATTCCACCTGAGAGCCGCCCTGAGACAGGGGAGAACTGCCCTCAGTCTCCACCAGCATCTGCGGTGGAGACTGCTTCGCCTGGAGCCTAAGGGGCCAGCGGGCCAGCGGCTAAGCCCCAGCATCACCCAGGCTCCCGGCTGATGCTGGTACCCGTTTTGTACTACAACTCCCAGCTACACTGCCATCAACCCTGTATTAGACGCTGATTCTGTAATCTTCAAATCACAAGGAGTCTAAGTGCCTGGTAAAATACTTCCCAAAGGGCTGGAATAACTAACAATTATTTGTAACTAACTATACAAACATTTGCAACTAACATTAACTAACTAAAACCACTTTCTTGAAATACACCAGAACATACATTTACATATGGAAACACATCACTTTTTCAATTACATCAGAGCCTATCTCTAGAAGAAAAATGAGAAGTATCAAAGCAATAGTAAATAACATGGCTGAAAAAAATAAAAATAACATGGCTGGTATGTATATGAACATTTTAAGTAAACCAATATAAATTAATTTTTTTAAATAGTAACAACATGAACATTTACAGAGATTTTGGATTTTCATTCATTCATTATTGTACTTTTTCTTTACCCCCGTCCCCCCAGTTCACTCCTCTCTTTGAAAAGCAAAAGATAAACTTCTTTGGTATACAATCCCCCCGACCCCGACCCTGACCCCCCAGCCACCCAAATGCACTCCACTATGCAACCTTAATTCTGGATTCCTGTGATAATCATAATATGCTATCATGTATCACTTTTAAACTGTTCATTAAAATTAATAAAATTTTTTTTAAAAAGTTTCAGGGTTAAAAAAAAATAGTAACAACATGGTCCAGGTTGTTCTTGCTGGTTGCTGTGGAACTAACACCAACTCCTGACAACCCTGGTGTGCAGAGAACTGCCCAGGGGCTTTTCAAGGTGTGGCCTTTCAGATGCAGACCACTAAACCCATCTCTGAGGCACCTCCAGGTTCCTTTGAACCACCAACCTCCCTGCTAGCAATCATGTACCTAACCATCAATGCCACTCATGGAACTCTGTTTAGAGTAAACAGCTATTGTTCTTGTGGTTGTTGTTACTGTGTGCTGATGAGTCAGAACCAGCTCAGGGCTGACCCTCCAGTAGGTATTTTCAGGGAGGAAATAGCACAGGAGGAGCTTAAAGTATTGGGGGGGGAGTGGTGGGGAAGTGGACTTTCTTTTTTATTGCAGCATTATTTGGTTTTTTTAATTTCTTAATTTTAATGAAAGTTTACAGATGCTTACGATTTCCAGTCATTCATTGTTGCACTTTTCTCCCTGCCCACCCCCTACCCCCAAATCATTCATCTCCTTGAAAAGAAAAACTCTTTCATTGTTATGCGATCCCTCCCCCAAGTTCACTCCACTATGCAGCCTTCACTCTGGACTTCTGCAATGATAAGAATACACATTCATTGGGAACTTCTAAAAATAAAATCCTTATGCACATGACCAAAGAGGATAGAAGGAGAATTGATGCCTTTGAGCTGTGGTGCTGGAGAAGAGTGTTGAGGGTACCATGGACTGCTAGGAAAACATACAGATTCATCCTGGAAAGGGTTAAACCGGTGGCTCCTTGGAGGCAAGGATTCTGAGGCTCCATCTAACATACTTTGGACATGCTGTAAGGAGGGACAAGTCCTTGGAGAGGGACATCATGCTTGGGAGGGTGGAGAGCAGGCGCAAGAGGGGAAGACCCTCTATGAGGTGGACTGATTCAGTGACTGGGGTCATCAGGATGGGTGTATCAGAGACGGTGTGATTGGCAGAGGACAGAGCAGAGTTTAGGGCTGCTGTACATAGGGTCACTATGAGTCGCAAACAACTCGACGGCACATAACAAAAACAACAACATGCACATCCAAAAACTTCACCAACAGGGTAAAAAGGGAAGCCACAGACTGGGAAAAAGTATTTGGTAATTACATATCAAATAAGGGACTTCTATCCAGAATTTATAAAATACTTGAGCACCACAACAAGATAAAGGTAAATAATTGAAAAATGGACACAGGATATGAACAGACACTTCACCAAAGAAGACATTTAGATGGTCAACAAGCACATGAAGAAATGTTCAAAATCCCTAGCTCTAAGAGAGATGCAAATTAAAACAACTATAAGATATCCTCTCACCCCAGTCAGGATAGCAAAATTTAACAGAACAGTAAGCAACAACTGCTGGCGAGGTTGTGGAGAAACTGGAACCCTTATTCACTGTTGGTGGGA